CATAATAGTAATTAATGTGCCCCATTCTTTTATTCCCAACTTGTAACTATTTTCTGAGTGCCATTGGCACTTTTTTATGCAATTATTTTAGGTTAGCTTCGTATTATTCTCTCATGTCTTAGCATTCTGTTTGTTATGTCAGTAATGCCTTCAAACCTGATGTTGCATTCAAATCAAACTTGATTTTCCTCGAATTTGCCATTTTTTTGTGCTTGGCTCAGGGCAATGCTGATTTTATGTTAATGGACAAGTTATTCTGTATCCCTTGGAATTTCCTTGTTTGGGATGTGATTTGGTTTTTGGGTTTTTTTTGTGAACTGAAAGATACATGGTGGTGTTCCATTGCAAGTACTCAAGGGAACAGATATTCATATATGTGGAAATCCTACCATCTGTTTAGACATAGGCATGAATATTTTCACTTCATGTTGCATTTCATGTGTTTTGTTGTGGTTAATCACTTTACTCATGCTTTTTCATTTCCTTCATGCTTGCAAGTTATACCATGTTTCATCTGTATTTCCATATTTTTTTTCCTAAAAGAGATGAGAAAGGGCAAAAGAAAGAATATCTGATCATGTCCTCACTCATGTCTGTAAATTCATTTTTTCATCAGGGATTCAATTCTAGTCTTCCATTACTATTCATTTCATTATTTTCTTTCCATGTTATCTTTGAATCCTTATGTTTTTCCATAGTCAGATTTCCCAGGGCATCCTAAGAACCAGTGAAGGAATTCACCACCCACATTCCTGAAGAAAAGCTTTCGTTCTCCCCAAATTGGGATGGGCTTGTTAGAACTGGAATATTCTGTATCAGTGGTGTGTAGGGTTTTTTGTTTGGGTTAAGGAGGGGGTGGTTTTGTTTAAAACTGATCTTAGAGTCATAGAATCATTTAGGTTGGAAAAGACCTTTAAGATCATGGAGTCCAGCCGTCTATCTTCCCTATAATGTTTTCCCAGTGCTACTGTAGTGACTGACTTCTGTATGGAGCTTCCTCCCAGCAAAGACTTGCATCTTCTTGCAAACTTAAAACCAAAATGAAACTGCAGTGTGTAACACATTTCCCATATAATTTGTTAGAAACATTGGGTGTTTAAATCCTTTTCTTTTTTTTTCCCTCCCCTTGCATTCCTCTACAGCTTTGACAAGTATCCAGTAGAATTAGATGAGCATGTCTCAGTTTATCAATTTCCTTTAATTACAGCAGAACTGGCATAGGTGACCCTCAGACATCCCTGTGTAGTTTCTATGTAATAATAAAGAAAGTAAATTAGGTCAAGGAAGATGATTTTAAAGGAGGGGGGGGAAAAAAAAAAAAAACCAAGGACTGAGGGGAAAAAAAAAATGAAGGGGAGACCATAGAAAGGCTGGGGAAGAGTGCTGCACCAGGTCATAAAATTGTTCCTGAAATGAGAGACACAAGGATTAAAATTCTATAGCTAAAACAACCCAACAGCAAAGAGAAAGTAAGGAAAAGAACATGAAAGATTGACAAAGAAAAAAATGTCTTTACCCATCATTATTCCTTGTGTCTTTAATGCCAATTTTTTGGAAAGCATCCCCTTCAGGAACTGAGATTTAGCCAAACTGCTAGAGGTCAGGTAATACGATTAGCAGTTGTGTTTGTTTTAAATGCTTTATGTAATAGCAGGTAAGCTCTCCCTTGAAAGTGCCTGGCGTCTGTCTGAGCCCATTAGCTTTTATGTGGATGGCAGGGTGCAGCCAGAAAATGATGGGCCTGATTCCATAACTCTTCTAGTAATCTAGCTCTTGCAGGAAGCAGGAATATAACCCCCCTATCCTTTTCTTCTTTGGTATAGATGCTACAGTATTTTACATATGCTTATATTTAACCTCTTAAATAGAGAGAGTTGGGGTAGTTCAGCCTACAGAAGAGAAGGCTGCGAGGAGAACTTATTGCGACCTTCCAGTACTTAAAGGGGGCCCACAGGAAAGATGGGGAGAATCTTTTTAACAAGGCCTGTTGTGACAGGACAAGGAGTAATGGATTTAAACTAAAGAAGAATAGATTTAGACTAGACATAAGAAGGAAATTTTTTACCATGAGGGTGGTGAAGCACTGGAAGAGGTTGCCCAGAGAGGTAGTGGAGGCCCCATCCCTGGCAACATTCAAGGTCAGGTTGGCTGGGGCTCTGAGCAACCTGATCTGGTTAAAGCTGTCTCTGCTCACTGCAGGGAGGTTGGGCTAGATGATCTCTAAAGGTCCCTTCCAACCCAAAGCATTCTATGATTCTGTGATTAACCAATAAGGGATTAAATAGGTAAGAGTTAAGGTAATGAAGTAAGATTCCTATAAATGAACTAAGTTTTTCCATCAGTTTGATCCTTTTCCAGTAGATAAGGATTTTTGTCTCTGTTTCTGACTTCAAATTAACATAACTCCTGTTATATTTTTGTTCACTACCCATGCCATTAACATCAGATCAATCCTAGAACTAATACTGTAGAAGATTTCGTACTAGTTTCCTGGCTATTTAGTAGAAATTTTGACTGTTGCTAGAATAGCAGACTTGGTTTAATTTCCTATTTCATTTAGTCCATGGGAATAGGTTGTTGCATGTTTTCCTTAAAAAGCCATTTTTTAAGCTTCTTCAAACAAGATAGTGATTTTATGTCTTAAAGTGTAGGGGATTTTTAGTGCATAGGCCTGTCAAATTCTGAAACTTATATTCTTATGAATGACGTCTTTTGAGGTGTAAAATCAAATTATTAAATTGAAAACTTGCAAGGAAACACTAGGCTGAAAGTATATTAAGATACTATCACAGTGAAGCTGTTATCAGAGATACTGTGTTTGTGTGCTGTTTCTGTACTCAAGTTTAATATTTCAGTTACAGTGCTGCAAAATAGTGAAATAGATTTAATACATATCTATCGACTCCTACATGCCATACATCAAGTGTCAAAATGTTAAGATAGGAGCTGAATAAACTTTTGTAGTGCCTTTTGTAAATATTCACGAAATAGCTTTACACAATGGTCTTTAAGTAACTGAAGTTAGTAAATTGCTTTACAGTTGTTGTAGGCAGTTGCAGGAAAATCTGATTTTAAAAGAGCATTGTTGGAAAGAACGTTTGAATTGAATGCTAAGCATATCCTTTTTAATAAAAACAGGTAACAGTAACAGACAACGGTGTTCCTGCAAAATCAACAATTGCACGGGTGATTGTGAAGGTCTTAGATGAGAATGACAATAAGCCTCAGTTCTTGCAAAAGTTCTACAAAATCCAGCTTCCAGAGCGTGGTAAGCCAGAACGAGAGAGAACTGCTAGGAGAGAGCCGATCTATCGAGTTATTGCTGCAGATAAAGACGAAGGCCCCAATGCAGAGATCTCTTACAGCATTGAAGATGGTGATGAACATGGCAAATTCTTTATTGAACCGAAAACTGGAGTGGTTTCATCAAAGAAATTTTCTGCAGCAAGGGACTATGATATCCTTTCAGTGAGTCAAAATCTTGTATATCATGAATATATAAAGTGTTCTTTTATCTGTATTCTCATCACTTCTTATTCAGTAGCTTCAGATGAATGACACAGTATCTGAAGGAAGAAAGCTTCAACAAATCCAGAAGTATTGTCTTGAGGGTTTGTTTGGTTTGGTTTTGTTTTGTTTTGTTTTTTTTTTTAAAGGACGATTTCAGATGTTTGTATTGAGAAAGTAAATCAAGCTGCTGCTGTTCTTTTCCAGAACTTGACAGGTAATGAACGTGATGAGGGAATATAAACAATCAGTTTGACTCTCTTTCAGAAAGCAAGCAAAATAAAAGTGAATTTATGGTAACGGTTTGTGCTGCTATCAGGTGCTGCATACTTTTTCTCCATTTGCTGCCCAGATAATGAAGGGCAAGTGGCACTTTGAGAGACACTTAACCTTTTTGGATATATCTCACACAAGCAAACATGCTTGGAGCTTATTACTACTTTTCCATTTATGTGACATAATGATTTATGTGATCCTGTAGCCTAAAAGATGTGTCTGTTTCACAGATTAAAGCTGTAGATAATGGTCGTCCACAAAAATCATCAACTACACGGCTTCACATAGAATGGATTCCAAAGCCTGTCCCACCCACAGAGCCCATTTATTTTGAGGAAGCATTTTTTTCTTTTACGGTGATGGAAAGTGACCCAGTTGCTCACATGATTGGCGTAATAGCTGTTGAACCTCTTGGAACACCACTTTGGTTTGACATAACGGGTAAGGATGCCTCGGGCTTTTATTATTAGAAACAAATGCATGGAGTCTGAGATAATGGAGCGCTCATTGCAGCTTGCTTTCTTAATCACTCTTGTAAATAATGCAAAGTTTTGGCATTCTTTAGCTGTAGATGCATATTTTTTCCCTTATTTCATTATAAATCAAAATGACTAAAATTTTTATCAATGCCACTATGTATCAAAGATTAGAATTACATTGCAAAATATCTGCTGTGTTGCAGTTTTGGAAATGACTTATGAATGTTGTGTCAGTGAAATTAAAACTAACCAAATCAATCTCATACACTGTAGGATAGGAAAAGAATAAAATGCCAGTTTTCTGCAAATTGGGGTGGTACACCCAAAGAGAGATTATATTGTTCACATTGATTTCTTGTCCTCTGGGCTGCTTCTCAGTTTGCTGTCCCTTGATTCAGTACTAAAAGGAAAGCTTGCAATGTTCCTAACCCCAGCACGCTTCTTCCTGTATGTATTCTTACTACTATATCATACCTTAGCCTTTACTATTGAAAGAGGAATTCTGTTAAGTAATATGACTATACGTTGATGCTGTGGTGACAAAATGAATTGTACTTTTTAATTTTAGACTTACTCACTAGACCTGTGAGTACCACGAATACACAGTGTGTTCACTGTATAGCTGATGCTAAAACCAAGTTCTGTCTTGTGTTACGTGCTTCAGAATCAAGGAGAATAGCGCAGCCTTGTTTCAGGAGAGGTATCTTGTAGTGAACTGTTTCTGGTCTCAAGATAGCCCTATCAGATTGGGGTTTTTCCACCACATTTGCAAGAGAGAGAAGGATCCTTTTCACTTTGGTCGCTGATGAAAATTTAGCCATGATTATGGTTTTAAGTTGTTGGGGAGAGCATTTTTTTAATTGTTTCTTAAAAATTTAATTATTTTTAAGGTCTGTCTTTTTGAAACCCTAAGGGATTCTGAGAACAGCAACAGTTAAAAACAAAGTTTGTAAAACTGGTACGTGTAGCAGGAATATATAAATGCCAAATACTTGAGGGTGTTCTCATAAAACTTTCAAGCATATGAGAACAGACACAACTCTTCCCTAAATGCACGCTTCGTGTGAACAACCTGTGATGATATTGATAATAATTTCTAATGTATTAAATATTTACATAGGTTTTTTTTAATGGTTCTTTCTAGTGTATTCTGGGGGAAAAAAATTAATTCCTGTCCAAATAGATCGTAGTTGAATAAAAACCATTTGCATTTCAACAAACCGAGGGGTTAGAGATCTGTACAACTGTGCAGAGGCAGTAAAGAGTTCAAGGTACCTCCTTGCATTCTCATAGGGGCAAAGCTCTCTGTATTAGAGGTGTTTTGGAACTGAGGCTGCTCTTTTACTGTTCTCCCAATCATACACACACATAGACATGGGAGTAGAAAACCAGGAAATATAAAAAGAACTTACGTGAGCAGGAGAGAGGAGAACGTTCCATGTGCTCCAATTCAAACAGGGTTATCCAGTCAACAATAAACAGAAACATCTGTAGACCAAAAAGAGTCCATTAAAGGAAAGGTTAAGAAAGGGATTTTGCCAGAAAAAGGTGAGTGGTTCATGGAGATGAAAGGGAGTAGGTAGAAGGGGCCTCAGAGGTCTTCAGAGTTTCCACAGAGTACAGCAATGGTGTTTCCTGGGGTCTTTAATTAGCAAAATTTGTTAATGAGATTGGGGATGTACTTTTCTATTTTAGTTTGCTTCAACTGCTGTGCACTCTGAGCATTGTGTACATCTGAATAGAATTCTGATGATAGTATTATTTTGATTTGCTCCTGCTAAGCATGCAGCACAGTTTGGACATTTACATAATTTTTATTGTATGATTAAAGCAGAAAATAGATGATCTTTTCCTGCTATTTTTAGAAAGACATACACAGAAAACATCAAGGGGAAAGAGCAGAACATGTCCATACACTGTAAAATAAACCATTTTATTTTGACTGTTTTCTTAGTGAAAGTGTTTTGGAAACTTTGATATGTGATCATGTTGTGAAGTTATCGGCTACTCTTACAGGTGGTCACTTTACTGCCCTCTTTTACTGTTTTCTAATAGCATGAATTAATTTGATTGACAGCTTTCCTTTGTGTTCTGTGCTTGCTTTCCATGCTTTCTTTCTTTTTGGCTGAGCCAGGAGACAAGCTTGCTAGTGAAGTATTTTACATCTTTCAGATGGCTTGTGACCTGAACTGTACAGCAGAAGGTATCTGCTGAGATCACATAATTTATTACCAGATTATGAGATCTGAAATGAAAGCGTACATTTATAAAATATTTATTTTATTAACCCTTCGGAAATCAAAGTGCTCACAGTTGCATTTGTGACAGGTTTGTTTTTGTTCTGTTTTGTCATCATTACATTTATACAGCATCAATTCAGAGCATCCGGTTTTGGCTTTGGCCAAAACTGTTGCTGTTACACTTTCAGTGTACCAGATGCAGAAGTTTGGGTTGAGTTCTGCTTCAGCGGATTACCGGATATCACCACTACTACAAAAATTAGGCAAAGCCTTCGTAATTTCCTTGATAAGGAAGGAAAAAAAAGTTGTTTAGAGAGCTTGTCCTTTTATCAGGGAAACTGAATGAACAGATTCATACCCGTTCACCCTACTCTTCCCTTAAAATGGAGATGACCTCATTGAGACATTAAATTCTCTTCTCCTAGCCATGTGAGAAAATGGTATCGCATGACAGCTATACAAGAAAAGTAAGAGACTCACTTTCTGAAGCTGACATCTTGCACAAAGCAAAAAAATTTTAAAAAATTTCATGTACATCTGTTTAAAAAAAAAAAAAAAAAGGCTGCTGCCACCTTCCATGCTGTCCAGTTTATATCCATTCAAGTGATTCAGAAACTGATGCTGGGCCAGTAAGAGGAGTTGGCTTTCAGTGAAACTTGAAAAATTACATTGTCTTTGTTATTATCAAATATCTTAAATCCAGTGAAGCAGAATCCAGCCCATGTTTCCTACACTGATATGTCTGTCATGCAGTGGAACCTTCTGAAGGTGAAATCCTTTTTACATGTGGATGGGGGCCAGTTTCAGTATTTACTGTTCTTTCTTGGATTAAGTATAGATTTGCAACCTTTGGAACTTCACCCTCTCACTTGTAGCCTTGGCTTTTCATAAGAGGCATTCAGTGATTTATAAAACATAGCATGTAAAAACTCATTAAAAAAAAAAAAGTACTCATGATATCTGAATGCTATCCTTGTAAAATGCAATTAGAAAAACACATGCACATAATTAGGAGAAATTGGTTTGCCATATCTAGCACTGGCTTGACCAAAATAAAAATTGATTGCTCCATTTTAGGCGGTTTATTGAGAGGTCTAAAGCAATTGTAGTTAAATGGCAGTATTTATCATTGCTAACAATATTTGGACTTAGTGGACATTGTATTCTCATGACAGTCTGCTCGGGGTGGCATGATGATGATCAATTAAATGTTTAAATGACTAAGCGTGGCTATTGATCTACACGGTTATTTAACTGTATTTCAAAGGGTAATTTGAAAGTTTCGCACAGGAAGTTAAGATAATTTGCTTCAGAAAAGGAGCTTGGCCATATTTAAACATTGGGCATTTAAAGATTTAGCACTCATCTGACTCCTGTGTGTCTCAGTAGGAGTTAGTTCTTTAGATACTCAGCATTGAGATAAGAATCCTTTGGAGGTACTGTGGCTTTTTCAGCCTTATCTAGAGTCATATTATGAGTATAGTAATTTGTACTCTGATCCAAAGGACACAAATTTGACAGTATTTCTGATTTGGAATTTTCATTTATTTTGATAAAAAGTATATTTTTCACTAATTAGGCTGACTGTCTGCACAGAATGAACTATCATATTTCACCTGGTAATTCTCAGTTTCCTGCTATTTGGAATCTTTGAATCCTGGTTAAAAAAAAAAGTAGAGAATCTTGCTAAGAATCTACCTGCTAACTTTCCATGAGCCAGACAAATCAGCTTTGTCCAAAACTAATCAGTTTTAAATATTTGTAAGTAGCAGCATATAGCATTACCAGAAAAAAAACAAGGGTTTAAAATAAGTGTGTATATATAAGTATATGTGTATATAGTTCCACCTTCATTAAGCATCTGAAGACAGAACATGATCATACATGAAAATAATGCAAAAGTGCTGTGTTTTATGAACTTCTCCTTCTCCCAATTTCCTGAACAAGGTGGCAACTATGACAGTCGATTTGATGTGGACAAGGGCACTGGAACTATCATTGTCGCTAGACCTCTTGATGCAGAACAGAAATCAAATTACAACTTGACGGTAGAGGCAACAGATGGAACCAGATCTATCAGCACTCAGGTAATGGACTTTCTAATGAAGCACTTACAGAAGAAGGAATTTGTAGCTGGCGGGTGGGGAGGGTGTTGCATTTTCTCCTTACTATTTTTTTCATCCTGGACAATGAATATGGTTTATATAAATTAGGGACTGTCTAAAATAGAAGTGGATTCTGATATTCATAGAGCCATGTTGTTTGGCGCTCCAGGTGGAAGATTGTGTGTTACTATGCTATAGTCTGAATCAGCAGCTTTTAAGTTATATCATGTTCCTACATTAGCTGAGTAAATGAAAACAGAAACTAAGCCCTTTCATGCATGATTTACTCACAAGAAAAGGATTAATAGTTCTTATATGAATTACTCCTCTTTATCCAGCTCCCCCAAAGTCACCAAATAACATGATTACTTCACTGGAAATTTAGAAGACGACCGTTGTAAGGTTGTTTGGGTCCCACCCTCCTCAAGATCTGTGGATGACAAATTGTACAGTGTCCAATTACCATTTTATGAAACTGAGCTGCCCCTTATGCATGGTGTGCATATAGAAACAAGGTTTAGATTATAATGTCTCGGTATCTTCCTGAGTACTTTCGTTTAGCTTCAGTGGAGGTAGAGATTGACAAACACTCTCCAAAAAGCAGCAATCTTAGACAAACAAAATTTTTTCATATTACCTCTCTACTAAGGCTCCATGGTGGTGACAATTCTTTGTAGTTGGACTAGTAAGTTCACTTTAAGGCAGAAGCCTTTTGTGACACTACTGGAAATACCTCATAGTAAAGTAGGTTATGATGTATATCCCTCCTGTTTTTCCCATCTAGTTTCTTCCCCCAGCCCAGAACCTGAATATATTTGGAAGTAAGGTTTAGGTGAGGTTGGTGTGAATGGAGCCATGAGCATAGAGGCGCTCCACTTTTCTTCCACATAGAAAGGAAAGGATTTATTTACTGATTTAAGGCTGTTGGATTGGGACAGTGATGTGTCTGTGTTGCCTACCCCCATCATTGACCTACCGCTCGGGAGCTTAAAGAGCAGTAGCTTGCTGCTGTCTTTCCTGTAAATGGAAATCTGTGTTATGAACACAGTTCTTTTGTTGTTCAACTTCTGTGCAGTACGCATGTTTTTCTGTCGTCTTTTCTAATGTCTTATGTTGTCTTCCTCGTTTCGGCCAGAGGGAAAGATGTTTCTTGTCAATGTTTAGGATTTAACAGAATCTTTACTGAGCTAACTGCATGTCTGGAGGCTTGATAGGTCAAATAGACTAAATTCAATAGTAGAAGATTGCAAGGTTAGCAGTTTCCGTTGAGAGCTGCCTTGTCCTTTAATGCTGACAGTTGTGAGTGATATTCTAGACCATGAATCTCCAAACACGACAAGATGTCCCCCAGTCAGAACTTGCTGCTATCATAGCTGTGGTGCCATTGCTGCTGGTGCTGGTAACCACCATAAAAGGTTTGCAGAATCCTGCTGTGAGTATATTGCCTAGTTGTAGTGGAAATACTGAGCAGATTTATTTCTACCAATTACGGAATGCTGGATAGAAGGCATGAATTAGTTGGCTGGCCGGGGGAGGGGGGTGGCGAGGGACATGGAGAAGAAGCCCAAATCCAACTAAAAGAGAATTTCTTTTGCCAGGAAAGTCAGAAAGACAGCAAGAAGCTTTCCACATAGACGTCCCCCCCCTCCCAAGAATGCAGTCAAAAATGCCACCATGCAGAGTGTGTTGGGGTAGCCTGGGGATTGAATTTGTGGTCTTGATGACTGCATGTATTCTATCCAGTGCTGTTGCTTATATAGCTGAACTTATGCAGGCGTCCCGAGCTGTCACAGTTGAAGCATAATCTGCTTTGTCATCTGGAACAACCAAGAACTGGAAGGTCACAAAAATACTTTAACCCTCACCCCTTCTCTTCCTCTGGGTTACGTGATTCATTTAGTTCTTCTCGGAGGTGCACAGTGTAGCTTTTGTCCAATTTCTTTAAATTAATTTGTTATTTTAGCATTTTGTAAAGATGAGTGAACATTATAAACATCTACCCCAGCAGTCTTCTGCAGAGGAATTGGAGTAATAGTCTCAAATTTATGATCTCTTATTTCTGTGATCGCATTTTGTATGATTTTCTTTTGTGTCTTTCCTTTCCTCTCTCAGCTAGAGTTGGCAGGAGCAGAGGTTGTGGTTTCTGTTACAAGCGAGCACAAAGACTTCCTTTGCATTGTCTTCCTTTTTCCCCTGCTTGTGGGATAAGCACAAGTTATGCTGTTGCTGATTGAGTCTCATGTTGCTGTGGTGTTATAGATTGAGGAGCATGGATTAGTTCAAACTCTGCAACTGTTGGTGCATGAACAGACTCCTGATTTTAACTGGTTCTCTTATCTCCCCTGTAATTTCTGGCCCACCCAAATGGACTGATCTGCTAAGATAGCCCTCAGGGCTATTGTTAAGAAGATGCATTTCAGATGAGGCTTAACTTCAGGGGAATTAAAAATGTTGCTATCAAATCAAAGTTGAAGGTGTGATTTATGGCTGCTAGTGTGTAAATTCCATTACTCACTACTGAAATAATGAACATTAAAGTTTGAATGTTGACGTTGTGTTTGACTCTTCTAAGAGCTGATAAACAGTTAAAATGGAATGACAGGCAAAAAAAATTCTGAATACTGAGTGCATGCATTAGGAACAACAATATGCCATACACAGCTTTTAGCTTACAAAGTAATTGCTGTAAACATTGGAAATACAGTAAACAATTTAACAGACCTTGATTACCAGCAGGTTAAGTAATTGTACATTTAATTTGAAAAAGGAAATGACATATTCAAGACACTGGGGAGTGGGACAAGAAATGAAAATCTTGCTGTGTAAAAGCAGTGTATTGAATCTGACTTTAAACTAGAAGGCATTTGCTGGCCTCAGGTCATTAACATCTGTAGAGCATTTGACTCTTTCAGGACTTGAGTTAAATAGCTTTTTTGAAAAATACAGCAGCAGTAGGCGTGGAGGCTATTAGAATTTTGCATGCATCTAAATGCCAAATGCATGATGCAAAACAAGGACAAACAAATTCCAGGCCTACAGTAGTGGCATTTGACAGATGATGTTAGAGATTACTAGTGTCACACTAGGAAGGAATATCATTCAAAAACCAAATCAAAGTACTAACGTTTTTGGATTGTAATGTTTTGGCCTTAAATAGAAAAGGTTATTCACAGGATGTAAGTAGCAATATATGAACTATTGGGCTGCTTTTGTGGGGGAAACAAAGAAAATTAAAAAAAAAAACCTGTTCCTAGCTATAGCTGCTTCCAGTCATTGCTATATCTGTCAATTTTTCTCACTGGAAGTAATCCCTAAGATGGTTTAAAGCTAATTGCAACATTTTACCTATTGCTGTGCTATTGCAGAATATTAATCTTGCTTTATGCAAAATTTATATGGATATTATGCTTTGGGGTTGATTTGGGAATGAAGGATAGAATGTTCTTCATTGATTAAATGTGCATTTTTGCTTGTGATCACCACACTGCTCCACAGAGAAATTTTAGAACTGGAATGCAGTTACATTATCTCTGGATAATATAACTTCTTGTTTATGAAAATGATTGTAAACATGTCACTGTAACTATAATGTAATTATGAATGAAGAGAGGATGAGATTTTAAACTCCTCGTAGAATCTGCAACTGAAAAACTAGATTAAAACAATCTAAAGGAACGTTGTGTTGAAACACTACGCACTGAGTATTTTTTGTCAGTGGCACATATCGTCTCTATAACGCAGTAATAATCAATGCATTCCGATGCAAATCTAGGTTTCACCTGTTAAATAATTAATAGATTTCAAGTCCTTCCCCTAAATAATCTTGGGCTGCTTTGTTCTCTGTCTGTATAACCAGGTTGCATCACTTTGACTGAGATCTGTGAATAGAGAGCAATTGTACAACACAGCCCTTGCATAGCCTTGCAAAATCAGTCAAGTTTCTTTAGTTCCAGACCATTTCATTTCAGAGATCACATTATGGTCTGTTAACATAAAACTTGTCTGTAGTGCGCCTCTTTAATAGGCAACTTCTTTCTTAAGAGGTAATACTAGTATATTTCATTTGAATTTAATCTTATAATTTAATTGAGAATTTATGTTGCTGTTTTTATTGTATGATACATGTTACTTTAGAATAACACAAGCTCTTCATGTATTTTGTTCTCAGGTACACAAACCCATATTTTTCTCTGTGGGTCTTTAAAATTGCACTCACAATTGTTATTTCAGGTGCCTTTCATTTAATTTGAAGGCCTTAACAGTTTACGTGAAAATTTGGTCCTCTTACATTTAAAAGGAAATTGCACATCTAGCACCTGTCACTTATCATCATTAAGAATCCCTGTCTTGAAAGTAGGGTTTCCTTAGTACATTTCTTTAATAGTTTAGATTGGAAGGAGCCCCTGGAGTTCATCTAGCTAAAACTGCTGCTTAAGGCAGAGCAAACTGTAAAGTTGGATCGAGTTGTTCAGGGACTTGTCAGGTTCTAAGTGCCTGGGCTGACAGGGGTGCCACCTCTTCCTTGGACATCCTTTTATGTTAGTGTTTAACCACCGTCCTTGAAAATAATTTTTTCTTATATCTAATTATAGTTTCTCTTATTGGAGCTTGTGAGTGTCACCTCTTGTCCTTTCATAGAATCGTAGAATCATTTAGGTTGGAAAAGACCTTTAAGATCATTGAGTCCAACCATTTCACTGTGCACCTCTGAGAAGAGTCTGGCTCTCTTTCCTGCAGCCCTCCCTTTACACAGTGGATGAAGACCTTTTAGATCCCCATTGATTTTAGTGGCCCTTCACTGGGTTCATTTCAGTTTGTCAAGACCTCTCTTGCACTGCAGGGCCCAAAAGTGTACTGGATCTGCAGTGCCACCAGTGACTGTCAAATAGAGAGGAATTATTCCTTTCCCCCTGCCTGCTGCTCCCCTTATTAAAGCAGCCCAGCATGCAGTTAGCCAAGTTACAAAAGAGCTGCCCATCGATTCACGTTACGCTTGTCCGCCAGAATCTGCAGAGGGACAAAAAGTAAGAACATCAGTGAGTGAGAAATGAATCCTAAAGTATGTAGATAAAACACCTTCCACTTAAGTCAAAGATAAACTTTGGATTTTAGGTACATTTAAAATAACTCCACTAATAGATCAAATAGTGTATTTGTAGTTGTGTTTACCAGTATGGATTAAAATTGCATGCCTGAGTAAGTAATTTGACAAGTAATGGAGTACCTGAGCAAGCAACTGGTAGTGACTGAGTCATGTTTATTCCTTACTAATATTTTGTTAATAATTCATATTTAATAGTGCTGTGCATTTTGATGAGGTATCTCCTTATCTGCTTGGCCCAACAGTACCTTTTTGGAGGATGTCTCCTCATGTGTTTAGTGGTCAGGTCATTTTAACTGCTTCACTAGCTAATACCAGAGGAAGTTGGTGCCAAGTCCTTCTGGTGCTATGATCAACAGATCTCTTCTCAGTTAAGCTGGTTCATTGGCTATGTGGTTAGTCTTGCAGGTACCAATGTTGGTTTCACAGTCACTACATTCTTGGCATTTAACTAAGTACCTTGCACAGTTTTTTGTGGTGCTCCATTCTAGAAATGCTGTTTTCCTGTATTCATTTTGTGTAGTACCAGCAGCACTGGTGGCAATGTCTTCCCCTCCAAAGATTCATCTAATGCAGTTGCTCTGGAGTTGCATTCCCTCTCACCTCCAATTTTGACATAAGTTTCTGTATTTCCTCATTTGAGGGGGAAATAGGCATGAACTTAAACAGCAATTTTGATTTAAATTCATCAAATTTGACACTTTATCTTTTCACTTACTACTTTTCTGAGTCTAAACTTAATAATCTGTTGGGGGTGGGAATTGAATAAAAAAATTGTTGACGTGTTCATTTTGATAGCATAGTATCCATTAATTAAGTGTTGTAATTGTATATGGTCTTTTAACCTTTTATTTATACCAAAGATATTTGTATAGTTTGATTAGTATTGAGGGTTGGGGTTTTCTGCATTTTTTTTTTTTAATTTGTTGGCCATCTTCATTTGGTTTCATTTTTCATTTTCCTGAGCACCAGTGTTCAGTGAGCAGATGTTTTTACTGAAATGCTATTTAAGTAAATGTATTAGACCTTTCTGTATTTCTTCTTCCAAGGTGCATTAAAATGTGTTTTATTTATACAGAATTTAAAAAGAAACCAACAACTGTGCTTGTGTTGCTTTATTGCATCCTCTCTAATCATGACAATCTAAAAAGTCACATATTTAAGGTCATATTCTTTTCATTCTTGCTCATTGTTTTTCAGTTGACTTTGTTAGTGAATCTATTTAAAAACTTGACCTAATATGTATCCTAGGTCACCTACCATAAATTTCTCTCCCCACCAAAAATAAGTATTTATTCCAACTCTTTGTTTCCTTTCTTTAATCAGTTTCTAATTCATGACGAAAACAAACTCCTTAGTTTCCGTAGCAACATCGTGCAAGGGATCTTATCCATGTGCCAAATGATTATTTTATTTTCTGTTTCTTCCATTTTCTGAGAAATCTAATAAATTGTGGGAGAGAGCATTTTCCTGTGCCATGATAGTTTGTATTTATCCTAACAAACTGTTTCAAACACTAAAAGCTACCTAGGTTTATGAATATTTCCCTAAATGTACTATATTTTGGATTATGGCTCACTGACCTGCAATGCCTAGGACTGCATCTACTGAAAAAGTTAGAGGTTTGTGTGTGTGTGGCTTGGACACTAGTGTGTGCACACGTACAAGCACATGCCCCCCTCCCTGCCCTGACTGTCCGGAGGTGGAGCTCAGTATTATTAACAGCGTATGTTACATTAGGAGGATTGCCATCTAATTTTTCTTGGGTTTT